ATCCTGGAGACATATTCTCTAGGTCACGACCAATTGTATATGTTTTCAAGCCCATAAATGTGGATTTTTCACTAATTGTCATTTTCAATTCAAAATGGCGTCCATCATTTGCCGGAAATCAAAATTGTGTTATCTACCGTTTTTCGGCTTTCCTTCAAGGATTCGGAAAATATAATTGCCTTGTCTGTAAGTAAAATATCAAAAAAGCCTTATGTAATTTTCACATTTCAAGATGGTGGCATTTCCGGTTTGAGCTACAAACTCAATTTTTTGTGTACGAATCAGTAGTGTCGTAGCTAGTAAAGAAAAAAAAATCAAGGCAATCTGACCTATATTTCGTCGATTTTTTTGAAAACTTTGATCCTTAATTTCATCAAGGGGAGATAATTTAGAAAATTTCTAATAATATTTTTGAAGTCGCATTGATAAGATCTACTCACATTCTAAATTTCATGAAAATCGTGCAACTATTAAAAAAGTTTTCAAATTGATCTCAACTTCCGGTTCAAAATCACAGCGACGAATTTTCGAAATTCGAAATTGCAGATTTTAAGTAAATGTTTCAAGGCACCCCTCAAAAAAAGAATTAGTAAAATAGGTCAAATAGTTACAAAGTTACAGTAATGTAGGTCAAATGAATTTGTTCGTAAAATTCGGTGATTTCGGATTCGAAAAACGATTTGAAAATATATTTAATCAACATTCGCACCCCATTTTTTTTTGGGGGGGGGGGGTAGGTCAAAGTTTCAGATTGATCCTATGGTTAGATTCTGAGAAATCCGATTTGTAGAAATGACACAAAAAAAAAAAAATAATAATAGGAACAAGTGGTATCAGATGCCTCAGAGAGAATATTCAAATGCTCCTTGTGATACGTTTGTAACACAATTATAACCTAATGTATTACACGGGAGTGGAGTGGGTGGGTCGGGGGGCTTTTCGATTGGCAGGGGACTATTAAAATGGGTAAGCAGAGATAAGCAATTTGATGAAACTTTGTGTATAGTTTCATTACATTAGTACCTTGACCAAGTTCGACAATGAGCATTCTCTTAGTCAGGATAAGCAAAGCAACTTGATTGGCCGGGACTTTGAATTGGTTGATGCTTTGGGGTATGATAACTTTGGTTATAATGAAGTACTGGAACATAACAACCCAGCTTTTAATTGAGCTAGAATGTTTAAACTTGGTGTAGATGTTCATCAGGTCTTGACTGAACATTTTGAGCTACAGCTTGGCAATTTCATTGGTCGATGCTTTGGGACAAGATAACCTTGATTTCTATCTGACAGAGAGGGATGAAATTTACAGTATAGTTTGATTGCTCGATACTTTTGAAAAAAATATGAAAGTGCGATTAATTAATGTGTCATCTTTTACTTTGGGGTTTTGGCGGGAGACATCAGCCATACTGTTTGCTTGTTTAATATCCCCTATACAATATACGCTCGACCTCATTACCCGAACTGGGGTAGAAAAGTGGGATCTTTGACAATGAGGCAATGAGCTTGTACATTCTTTTGCAGCTGCACAAGAGGGAACATCAACGCCGGATTAACCATGGTGGTGGGGAGGGGGGCTGATACCGACCGTGAAGCCCCGCAAGGGGGTCGGGTCAGGGGGTTCTCCCGCTAAGAAATTTTAATTGGAGGCCGAAAACGTGATTTCATGGCATTTCAGGCACTTGTGTCGGAGCCATTTAGAAGTACCTCCCCCAGAAAAATAAAATTCTGCCACAAAATTAGCCACAATCCATGCGGGTGCTGTGAAATTTCTAGAGTAGGGAGCTGGAACCCATGAGCCCGTTCAATTCGCCACTGTAAATGAGCACAGCTACATCAAACCTAATTTTGAGTCCCTCAGTGATAAATAACTTGATTCAAAATCGTATTATAGCCCCAACGACGATTTGATGAATGGAGACCGTAACGTTACGACAAAGTCTAACACTGTAAGTACCAAATAGTCATACGAGATATGTGCATCTCATCAAATTCAGCTTATACCATACCCACAATAATGTTACGGAGTCAGTGAGTTCAAGTTAGACAATACGCTGACCTTCCACTGACCATGCTTATAATATAAAATCTGTCAATGACAGCTGATTCATTGAATAGTTTTTTATATGATATATTTAATATCAATAATATATGTATATGCATGCTTTATTTTACTTTACACGACCTCTAAAAATGCCCCAAATCGTAAAAATACGACTTTTTGGATTTCGATCTCCTTTTTTCGGCTACCCCGGACATTTTCAAAAAATGATACAATGATTTCACACAACAGGCCAGCTATTAGCCTCTCGATTGACAAGAGTTTCATCGCCCTCCATTCATTATAACCAATGTCATCGTGCCCTAAAGAATCAACAAATCAGCTTGCTTATCTCTGCTTACCCTAGGCAAAAAATGCTCATCTTTGAACTCAATCATGACATTGACCTAGTGAACGCCTACACCAAGTTTGAACATTCTAGCTTAATTAGAAGGAGAGTTCTTGTGTTCCAAAGTCCCGGCCCTTCAAATTGCTTCTATTTTTCATTTTCAATTCAAAATGGTGACCATCACGTGACCGAAATCAAAATTCTGATCCGATAGATTTTTAGGCATTCCTTCCAGAATTCCGAAAATATGACGCCCGAGTCTGTAAGTAAAATAGCAAAAAAGCCTTTTTGATTTTTCACGTTTAAATATGGTGGCACTTCCGGTTCGATCGACAAACTCCATATTTTGTGTACGAATCAGTAATTACTTGTCTAGTATCGAATTTTTTTTTTAGGTCATTCTGACCTATATTTCGACGATTTTTTTGAAAACTTTGATCCTTAATTTCACCAAGGGGGGGTAATTTAGAAAATTTCCAAGGACATCATTGAAGTCGCATTGGCAGGATCTACTAACATTCTAAATTTCACGAAAATCGCACAACTATTAAAGAAGTTGTCAAATTGGTAATAACTTCCGGTTCGAAATGACAGCGACGAATTTTCGAAATGCCAAAATCCGAAATTGCAGATTTGAAGTAAATGTTTCAAGATACTCAAAGAAAAAAGAATTAGTAAAATAGGTCAAATAGTCACAAAGTTACAGCACTGTAGGTCAAATGCATTCCTTCGTAAAATTCGGTGATTTCGGATTAGTAAAACGTTTTGAAAATATATTTAATCAACAGCCACCACCCATTTTTGGGGGGATAGGTAAAAGTTTCAGAACGATCCTATGGTTAGATTCTGAGAAATCCGATTTGTGGACAAAACACACAAAAAAAATAACAATAATAATCTTAACAGAAACAATAAGCTTTCATATGTAATATGAAAGCTTAATAATCTTAACAGAAACAATAAGCTTTCATATGTAATATGAAAGCTTAATAATCTTAACAGAAACAATAAGCTTTCATATGTAATATGAAAGCTTAATAATCTTAACAGAAACAATAAGCTTTCATATGTAATATGAAAGCTTAACTAGACCTGCAAGCAGCACTGATCCGGCTTTCAGGAATCAGAAAGGAAGTGTGTCATACAATAGCCCATTCATCGACCTACCAAACGATACTTTAGGTGTTTTGATCCGGTCAAACCCGACCGTGAAATTTTCTAACAAAGATGAAAATAACAATTTTAATTTGTTTTTCCAGTTCAAGTTACGTGTGCGTGTTCAGTTTAAGCAAACTTGCATCGATTGACCTCACGAGTTTGTGTTTGCACGTGTTTTTCAGGTTTTTCATCTTTATATGCTCAAAAGTCACGTGATCCACGTGACTTTACAATTTTATGAAATTAAAGGCTTCTTACTAATTACTATCGTTAGAAACACTTTAAAATTTATTTGACTTACCAGAAAAATTTTTTTGTTGAAATTCATCAGTGGCAAGTTTTTAATTTGGCTGAGTATTGCGGGCTAAATCTGACAGTGCAGAAGGGCTAGACTGTGTGAAATACACAATGCTAACAATAGCTAGTTCTGGAAAGCATCCAGGGATATAGGTAAAATCAAACAATTAATTCATTACACCCTAGAACAAATCTCCAAGTGGGCAAACGACTGAGGCCTCAAAATATCAGAGGGGAAAACGGTAGCAATACTGTTTCATCCGACTGATAATAATAGGAAAATCGATTTAAATCTGAACGGTACAAAAGTTGAATTCAAATCAGAGGCCGAATTTTTTGGCATGACGCTCGACTCAAGACAAACCTGGAAGCCGCATATTGATGGCATAGTAAGTCGCACATCCAAAACGCTCAACATGATGAAATACGCCAGAGGGACTCACTGGGGTGCCAACAGGAGCACTCTGGTGTTAATATACAGAGCACCCATCCGCTCGGTAATCGACTACTGTAATAATATTGCTAGAATTTTTGCTCTTGAAATAAGATGCCTTTATATTTCATTAATTAATATCTTTGGCAAGTTAGTAATTTCAAACATATTCACATATATAGTGTGCACTAAATTAACTTAGTCTGTAATTGTCAGTTGACACATAAAAAAGAGTTATTTATCGAAAACATATGTCACTCATTTACCACCAGAATTACACGTGAGTGGAATTATTCTAATTGCATCATTTGATTTAAAGTAACCAATCATTTTGTTAATTACACAAGTTCAGGGCCATGATCACGCTTTATGGTGCATGATATTCATTTACCTTTAAAAGAAACCGGGGAACCCTGTAAGTCAGACTTGCATTAGATTCCAGAGATCGAGGGTACATCTGAGTTCCTAGACAGCCGAGAGGCTGGATAGGGTGGAGAAGTGGTTTTAGCTATATAGTATTGTAATTTGTGCTATGCTTGTATACCTGTATTCAGTTATATGCTATAAAAAAAATGTAGAAGCGAACTATGCATTATTATTCCTGGTAAGACAAACGTCTTAAGAAACTGTAAGAAGTAAATACACAACGTGAAGCAGAAGTAAAGACAGCTAGAGACAAATTCTAGACGATCACAAGCCTACAGAAATATGTAGTAAGAAAAGATGCATGGGTCGTATGTAGGATGTGGCGACCGGTTTCCCATAGACGCTCTCCACGTCAGACAGAAGGCTCATGGTGCTACATATTCTGTTTGGTTGCCGTGACAGTTTCGACCTTTAGGGTAAGCAGAAAATTTGGAAGAAGATTAGAAGAAAAGAGAGTATGCATCACACGTTGGATGTGGGGAGTTCTCTCGTAATATTTTCCACATCTAACCAGTGACTGCATAGCACTGCATAGTCTTACATATTCTAATTTGAAACCGTAACGCAGTTTCGACCTTTGGGGTAAGAAGTCACTTTAGAAGAAGAATACATATTATTTGATTTGGAAGACGTTAAGAAGAAGAAAACCTGTACAATCCAGCAACAGAAAAAGTCTGGTGGAAAAAAAAACCTGGTGGAGATATTCGAAAAATTGGGTAAATACATTTTGTTTGGAAAATTAAATGTGTTAAATTTGTTTAAAGACCAAATAATATTAATTTAAAGTTAAAATCTGATTAGAAACTAAGTATTTAAAATTTAACTGTATAGAGAATAAATTACAGTCATTCATAAGTTTAGATTGATAGGTTTATTAAACAATATAATATCACTGGTTAGGTGTGTATATTGCCAGGTTAACATGACCTGTAGTAAATTTGAGTAATAAAATTAAAGTTAAAGAGAAAGTTTAGGGAGTAGGTTTTAAAAAAAAATGTTTTGATATAACTAAGGAATAATAAGGAAACGGAATAGGGAATAAAATAAGGAACTAATGTTGTCTCCGGATCGCAGTGAGAACGACGGCAGAGCTAAGGATGAATTTGTGAGTGATTAACTCTAGTTTTCTAGTTGGCCGTGGTTTTTACTGTGATTCGTTAATTTGTGTTTTTTGTTGTTTCGTATACTATATAATTTTGAGGCCCTTAGTCCAGGCCTTAGAGTTGTTGTAATTTAACTTTTGATTAAAAAGTTAGGTTATGTTGAAAATCCCATATGGTTAATCTAGGGATGTTGGTTATAGTTTTCCTGGGGAAAAAACTAAAATTATTGGCTCGTTAAATTGTGAGATTATCGCAAAGTCATCAATACGAGTTTAATAGGAGGTTAAGTTAAGAATATGACACTTTTTAGAAAAGTGGAGTATACGGTAAATTTTGTCCGTATATAATTTTATGTAATTAAATTTTTGCTTAGAAACGTAATATTAACGTTTAATATATACTGCTAATTGCTTTAAGCTGTCGACACGAGAGGATTAGAATGTGTAATTTGACATGAGGTCGAATTATTATAAACAATAGGTTCTAACACTGTGTTAAATTTGATGTGTGTAAAAGTCGCGTGACTTCAGTGGTTAGTGAATGAAATTATATGTGTGATTAAAAGCTAGGTGTATATTCTGATTGTCATGATTATATAAATATGGACTGTGTTCTGATTGAATGGAGCGTACGGCCATTTTCTCTCAACATAGTTGTAGATAAATTAAATAAAATGGGCTTTAACGTCCTACTGTAGGATAAAATGGGATGTCATTCAGATAGTGGCCATATCTGTGTGTCATCCTGGCTAATGTAATAATAGAGGGAATGTTTATGTAATAGTGGATAGTGTTTATAAAAAAAACAAATACAAAATTGTAAATGATTAGGTCAAAAAGGTCACATTACTGACGGTGAAATATAAAATAACAGTGTAGGAATTCTAAAACACAAACGGAAATTATAAAACATAAACGTAATTCTAAAATTGTCCATTACTCAGTTCAGTTCAAGAGGTCAAACTTAGTTTGAAAATTTCTAATTAAAGGGACACATCAAAGTTTATTAATACTTAAATAAAGTTTAATTTTCATTACAGTAAGATTTGCTAATACGTTTTCGAAATACTATATTAATAATAATGTTAGACTAATAGCAACATAAAGTTTTAAAAAAAAAATAGTAATAGTTAGTTCTTGGTCTGATGGCAATGACATGTTTGATTGACGGATAAAATTGTACAAACCAATCATACTTAGAAGAAAAAGAAAGAATGTTTCAACTTGACACTATGGTAGCTGAAACAAACCAATACACATCCAAGAAGAAGAAATGGTTTACCAGTTTACCAAATTGACATTTCCTGAGACAGAATTTAAAGTGAAACCTGAACTTTATAAATATTACGTGATGTGTTATAGTGTTTTGAAATTAGGACACTTGAAGATTTAAAAAAGACAATTTGTGTTTTCTGTGTTTAGGCTTAGTGAATTTTCATAGGATTTTACAGTGATGAACTTTTTGGAGAACTTTGGCATGCAACTTTTGATTTTTGATTTTTGATTATGTGTGTCTGTGTTTTCACAGTTTTGTTATATAGTATAGTATCATTGATATTTGCCTGTTGCATGAATAATTATAGGGTTTAGCACATAGAAGTTTTTAAGAGTCTCCTACCTGTTCATTTAGCATAAATCTTGCAAGTGGGGGAGGTGATATATGTTGATTTTCTAGATTTCTGCTACATTTATGAATAGTTATATAATTCTACAGGTGTTGGTATGGTTATTGTAAAGGATTCAAGGGAACCCTGTAAGTCAGACTTGCATTAGATTCCAGAGATCGAGGGTACATCTGAGTTCCTAGACAGCTGAGAGGCTGGATAGGGTGGAGAAGTGGTTTTAGCTATATATTATTGTAATTTGTGCTATGCTTGTATACCTGTATTCAGTTATATGCTATAAAAAATGTAGAAGCGAACTATGCATTATTATTCCTGGTAAGACAAACGTCTTAAGAAACTGTAAGAAGTAAATACACCACGTGAAGCAGAAGTAAAGACGGCTAGAGACAAATTCTAGACGATCACAAGGCTACAGAAATATGTAGTAAGAAAAGATGCATGGGTCGTATGTAGGATGTGGCGACCGGTTTCCCATAGACGCTCTCCACGTCAGACAGAAGGCTCATGGTGCTACACTACGGATGTCTGGCGTATGCAAACGCAAGTGACATTGAACATAGTAAGCTAGACACTATACAAGACAAAGCGATAAGACTAGCAATCAGAGAAGCTATAGGGACCAAAACAGGTGCAAGAATATAAATATATCGTGATATGCTCGCCAAAGGAAGGGAAGTCTTTCAAGGCCACAAAAGTGTCCAAAATAGGAGACGAGATCCGGATGAAATGGGGGACAGTAGCTCTACCCGACATACGGATACTCGCAAATGGCGTTCCAACACATGGGGGACGCGCACCTAGCAACAAACATAAAAATGTTAGTAAATCTGAAGGTTGAAATCTCAATGTCGGAGCACAATCAGACAGACAGGGTGATCGTCTACAACGTCCCCAAAGACTACGCAGACGAGGAGATCCTCGAAAATCTAAAGCTAGGAGGTTACAATCCCCTAGCAGTATATCAGTACCCGGTAAGGCAGGGTAAGAACATAAAGACGATACAGATAACGTTCAAATAGATGATACCCCGCAGGGCATTATCTACATGCTGTGTGATCGTAGGACTTTTCACCCGTACATCCCCAAAGTTAAAAGATGTACCAAATGCCAAAGAATATGGCATTTGGAGAAATTCTGCAGGGGCTTAGCTATCTGCGGTAAATGTGGAAATACCCACAAAACAGAGGAGTGTAGGGCCGCACAGCCAAAATGTGTCAACTGCAAGGGAAATCACGGGGCTGATTCACCGAAATGCCCCAAATACTTAAATACCAAATCTATTCTAACCATGCAATACACGCATGGAATATCCCACAAAGAGGCAACGGCGCATGTGAGCATCCAAACCGTGCCCCCAAAAAACAGCGGAAACCACTATGGAAGGGTATCGCTGCCAATATTAAATGCTCTGCGACAATGTCGTTCCCATTGATTATATGTAAAAAGTACAATGTACAAAGTCCTAATACCGATAATGATAAAGTCAAAATACCTCAAAGGCAAGAGTAAAATGAAAAACGTCAAATGTTAAGTGTTAAATAACAAATGTTTTGTGGGAAAATGCTTTTTTTGACGTGTCTACATTTTGTGCGCCTTTAAAGGGTATACTCTTTTAGTTATATCAGCTATTAAAAAAAATAATATTAGCTTTCGAAAAATGGTACCTAACTGTCAAATTTGTAGTTTTTGGTAAAATTAAGCCACTTCCCGTGCCGACAGATATCTCTATCGGTAACAAAAAATGACAATTGAGACAACGGAGTATATGAACTTTGTTTTATACAAATCGAGCAATAAATAATTAATCTAGGACTGAAAAACTGAATTAGCCAATGGCGGCCAAGGAAAATTACTTCCGGTGCCGACAGATATCTCTATCGGTAACAAAAAAATGACAATTGAGACAACGGGGTATATGAACTTTGGTTAATACAAATCGAGCAATAAATAATTAATCTAAGAATGAAAAACTGAATTAGCCAATGGCGGCTAAGGAAAATTACTGAGACAAAAAAATTTCACATTTTTGCCCAAGTCAGATGACTCGTTAATTTTGTGTAAAACACGACTAAAAAATATTCATAAATAAAAAAGTTTTTTGTAAAAATTTAATTTTTCAAATTTCGAACGACAAAAGCCATAGATGGATGTTCGAAATTCAAAAATGTGAGATAACCATTGTCTCGGAAAAGATTCAGGGTTTCCAAAAATGTGAATTGTTTTAAAAGAGGTAAAGAATTGGCGAAACCACGGCCGCTTTTTGATTTATTGCTACCGTTCAAAATTCGGCCACTTCTGGTCTGCGCAGAAGTTTCAAAAATACTTTATCAAGTAACCACCACATGGTTTCCCGATGGAAAATTTGGTTCCAGATCGATATCTGTTTCCGATCATGGAGAAATCGGCTCCCGCGGTAAATAATATGAAGTATATGAACTTTGTTTTATACAAATCGAGCAATAAATAATTAATCTAGGACTGAAAAACTGAATTAGCCAATGGCGGCCAAGGAAAATTACTAAGAAAAAAAAATTTCAAATTTTTGCCCAAGTCAGATGACTCGTTAATTTTGTGTAAAACACGACTAAAAAATATTCATAAATAAAAAAGTTTTTTGTAAAAATTTAATTTTTCAAATTTCGAACGACAAAAGCCATAGGTGAATGTTCGAAATTCAAAAATGTGAGATAACCATTGTCTCGGAAAAGATTCAGGGTTTCCAAAAATGTGAATTGTTTTAAAAGAGGTAAAGAATTGGCGAAACCACGGCCGCTTTTTGATTTATTGCTACCGTTCAAAATTCGGCCACTTCCGGTCTGCGCAGAAGTTTCAAAAATACTTTATCAAGTAACCACCACATGGTTTCCCGATAAAAATTTGGTTCCAGATCGATATCTGTTTCCGATCATGGAGAAATCGGCTCCCGCGGTAAATAATAATAATAATAATAACTAGACCTGCAAGCAGCACTGAACCGGCTTTCAGGAATCAGACAGGAAGTGTGTCATACAATAGCCCATTCATCGACCTACCAAACGATACTTTAGGTGTTTTGATCCGGTCAAACCCGACCGTGAAATCACGATTTTTGCAAGAGCACCGATTTTTACTGCTTTTTTTTTTAATATCGAATATTTTTATGACTACGGTTTCACCGGTGCCACGTTACCCTAAACATATGTCACTTCCGGTACCAATGAAACCATTAAACAGGTTTCCACATAAGCATTGCACACATCAAAGAAAATGGACGCCGAATCAACCAAATCCAGCAATATCAATTCATTTTATACATTTGTTACATGTAAGTGTACAGTACTTCTGGTGATAATGAAAATCTTCAATTAGTTTTATGAAATCAGAAATTGCATAAGGCATCACATGGTGAAAATTTCATGTAAATCGAATAATAATTGCCACTTTTATAGACCAAAAACCTTGAAAAGTGACTTGTATAAAACTGTCTATTTCTCTGCAACCGTACAAGTTAGAAACCATTTTCTGGTATCTGTATGATCGTATGGGTTCAATTTTTTTGTTGATTGGAATCAAATATCATAATTTTAAAAACATTACAAATTAGACTCATTTGAATTAAATATCTGTTTTGAAGGCTAAAAATACAGTTTTTGCCAAAATGACATTACTTCCGGTGATAATGACAATCTTAAATTACTTGTATGCAATTGTAAATGGCATTAGGTATCACACAGTGAAAATGTTATGAAAATCGAATAATAATTGACAGTTTTATGGACCAAAAACCTTGAAAAGTGACCTGTTGAAAATCTCCCATTTCTCCGCAACTGAACAAGTTAGAAACAATTTTGTGAAATCTATATGACCTTATAAATTTTATTAATATGTGAATGTAAACCAAAAGTTAAAATTATTAATACATATTAAATAATTCTTGCTTGAAAAAAAATATTGATTTTAAAACTTAAAAATGCATTTTTTCACAGAATGGCGTCACTTCCGGTGTCAATTTTAAATTGTAATCAATTTGATACGACGCATATTTGCTTTTTGAATCAAATGGTGTCACTTTTGTGAAAATCCAATAATAATTGACTAACAAAACTATACAGTTATATGGGACAACAATCACTGGTTTATTATACACAGGCACGACGTTTCGATAAGTATTCTCTTATCGTTATCAAGCACAATAACATTTAGTAAACTTGTTATGTTATGTTTTGTTATGTTTCCAATTGCTAAATGCCACTAAAGGATTATAAATAATTGACTATTTTACAGGCAAAATAACGAAAACAGTGACTTATGCAAAATTGCCCATTTCTAGGTAACTGCTTATATTACAAACTAATTTGAACAAACATTTTCTTCGTATGGATTATAGCTACACGTTTATAAAAGTTACGTAGAAATATTTTAAAATCTGAAAAGCCTGAATGGGTTGTAAATAGGCCAATTTTACACCTTTTTTCACCTCTTAATCGAATTTGCTCGAAAATGAAATCGAAATTAAAAAAAACGATCTCAACATTTTGTGCGCCTTTAAAGGGCACACTCTTTTAGTTATATCAGTTTTTTAAAAAAAAATATATTTGCTTTCGGAAAATGGTACCTAACTGTCAAAATTGTAGTTTTTGGTAAAATTAAGCCACTTCCGGTGCCGACAGATATCTCTATCGGTAACAAAAAAAATGACAATTGAGACAACGGAGTATATGAACTTTGGTTAATACAAATCGAGCAATAAATAATTAATCTAAGAATGAAAAACTGAATTAGCCAATGGCGGCTAAGGAAAATTACTGAGACAAAAAAAATTCACATTTTTGCCTAAGTCAGATGACTCGTTAATTTTGTGTAAAACACGACTAAAAAATATTCATAAATAAAAGTTTTTTGTAAAAATTTAAATTTTCAAATTTCGAACGACAAAAGCCATAGATGAATGTTCGAAATTCAAAAATGTGAGATAGCCATTTTCTCGGAAAAGATTCAGGGTTTCCAAAAATGTAAATTGTTTTAAAATAGGTAAAGAATAGGCGAAACCACGGCCGCTTTTTGATTTATTGCTACCGTCAAAATTCGGCCACTTCCGGTCTGCGCAGAAGTTTCAAAAATACTTTATCGAGTAACCAACACCCAGTTTCCCGAGACGAAAGTCTGAAAGCCTAATAATAATTTTAGTAATCTCAATAGGCTTTCAGACGAAAGTCTGAAAGCCTATCTAGACCTGCATGGCAGTACTGAATCGGCTTTCAGGTAACAGACCCGAAGAAAGCATACGAAAGTCCATTCACTGACCTATCGAACGATA